GCCTTTGCAAATTGCCTGTTGAAGAAGTTTAAGTATTAAAGTGACTGACTGAGAGTGTCAATGTTAAATGTGATTCATTCATCATCAGAAGTAGGTTGAACACCATATAGCTTAACGACTCTGTTTAGAACACAGATGCAATGTACATAGTTACATAAACATGTGTAAATGGATATATGCACAAATATTTTGTGTGCATATATATTTCTACACACACACATTATAGGCACAGGCTGGGTACTCCCCAGCTGAGGCTATCTGTGATACTATTCATCTCTTCCAGGAAAGGTCCAGATCACCAACTACTCTCCCTTCTCAGTGTCTATAATTTCAAATTAGTATCCTGATTAAAATCTTAGAATTTAATTCTATTTGTTGAATGCAGATTTCTACAAAAAGTCAGATTATCCTAAGAGGGTCACACTTTAAACCGTTCTCAGTTCATTAGACCTTAGTGTGAATTAACTTTGGATTTCTTTTTAAAGAGCACATTTAGATAATGGGGCAATTGGGAAGAAGAGAAAGCAAAATGGCCCTAGCATTCTGATGGGATAAAAAAAGGGATTAAAGTGTGTGTGTGTGTGTGTGTGTGTGTGTGTGTGTGTGTGTAGGGGGGTTTGAAGGTGGGCTGCAGAAAACTAAACTTGGGTTTGGGCTCATTCATTTGCTCTGAATGAATGAGCATTGTATGAATGACCCTGTAAATGGCCTCTTTAAAGTACATTATTTTTTTCCTCTGGACAAGGGAACAATAGTTCATTTTAATTTTACTTATTTTTAGAAATAATAATATATGCACAAGTATTAAATTTAAAAGCTCAAAGGGGACATTCAAGGGCAAGTAAATTTATGGCATTGTCCTCCAACTCCCAGTACTTGGAGACCACCACTCTAACCAGTTTCTTGTCCTAGGTGTTTGTAAATATACTCACCTGTGAGAGCATATTAGGTGCACTGTTCAGCCTCCCGTGTCTCTCCCTCAATAATATATCTTGAGATCTTCCCATATCAGTATACATAGAACCTCTCCCTTCTTTATAAGGGCTCTATAGTACTTGATTGTATGGATGTACCATGATTTACCTACGAAGTCTCCTATTGATGAAGACTGAGGTTGTTTGTAACACTTAGCTCTTACAGACAATGCTGTAGTGTAGGACACATTGTAGTTCGTGTTCTTGTCCATAGGTCGCCATTATTCATAACTCCTGGAAACTTTATGCTCTTCACAAAGAGTTCAGTGAAAATGGTGTTCCTGAGAGTTATGCAATACAGTGGCCCTTATAGGACATTTCCACAAAAGTGATTATACCTGCAGGGTAAACCACTGGGAGGGGTGCATATGTAGTGTTTGTCACTTAAATGAGAGAATTTTAATAGCTGATCACCAAACCCACTTTTAATGTGGTCATTGGCCTCTGAGTGCCCCCCAGATGCTCATCATTTGTGCCCAAGAGTATCCTAGATTTATTCTGACCATATCTAATCAGTGAAGAATACAACTTTACTTCTTTTGTTCTGGGCCTTGCACATTTATTAATGTAGCTTAAGATTATATTAACTTTTTGGCAGCTCCATCCCACTGTTGGCTCATTTTGAGGTTATTGTCAATTCAAATCCCCAGGTCTTTTCTCAAATAAATTACCATTAAACCATATTCTGCTTACCTTGTACATGTATAGTGGAATTCTTATAACCTAAAAGCAAACCTCTGATTTATCCATGTTAAAATGTATTTTGTTGTTTCAGCTCTACACTCTCTTCTAGGCGTTGAGCTATCTCTGCATCTTCATCTTGTCATCAGTCTTTTATCTTTCTGTACCTATTTTTCATTCCCGCTCCTAGTGAGCTTAATGGCATGGTTCTAGGTATTAATGTTGAAAGAAGTTTTATAAAGTTATTTTTGTTATAGCTTGTCATATATGGCAATCTTTGGGGACTTGGATAATAGGACTGGCCCACTGTTTGGAAGTCAGTGGTCAGAGGGCAAAAGGAGACACACACACACACACACACACACACACACACACACACACACACACAGAACATTTCCAACAACTAATGGGGAACATTTATCCAAGATCTCAGTTCTAGGACAACTGTGCTTCTCCTGAGCAATTAATTTGTGTGTAGTTTCTGGGCGTAGTTAATGGCATAGCATATGTTTTGCTGTGTATTTCCTGATAGAAGTTCAAAGGTAAATTCGCCATGCAGTTCTAGTGCACTAGACATGGTGTGGATTTTGTGTACCCATCTTACCCTTGACCTCTTTTTATTTTCCAACCCTATTTTTTTGCCCTTATTTCCTAGATTATTAAAAAGTTTAACATGAAGTTTGTGAGTTCTCTTAAATTTCTTTTTTTTGGAAAAAGGTATTGTGTAAACTGACAAACTGGTAAATAAAATCTTGGTGTGATAAATTTTGTAAAGATATCAAACATATTCATGCCTTAGATTGATGACAGGAGCAACAACTCTGGGGGAAAGAACTACGATGGAATAAAAAGTATAAACATAACTAACAGCTTTGGCATCATTCAAAACAATGATTGGGATTTTTAAAAAATGTACTTTATTGATTATGCTATTACAGTTGCCCCATTCTCCCCTCTTTATTCCCCTCTGCCCTACACCCCCCTCCTAGTCACATTCCCCACCTTTAGTTCATGTCCATGGGTCGTATATGTAAGTTCTTTGGCTTCTATATTTCCTACACTATTCTTAACCTCCCCCTGTCTATTTTCTACCTGCCATTTATACTACTTATTCCTTGTACCTTTCCCTCATTCTCCCCCACCCCCTCCTCACTGATAACTCTCCATGTGATCTCCATTTCTGTGATTCTGTTGCTGTTCTAGTTGTTTGCTTAGATTGTTTTTGTTTTTTGTAGGTTCAGTTGTGAGCTTGTGGTCATTTTACTGTTCATATTTTTGACTATCTTCTTTTTGTTAGATTAAGTTCGTTTAACATTTCATATAATAAGGATTTGGTGATGATGAATTCCTTTAACTTGACCTTATCTGGGAAACACTCTATCTGCCCTTCCATTCTAAATGATAGCTTTGCTGGATAGAGTAATCTTGGATGTAGGTCCTTGCTTTACATGACTTTGAATACTTTTTCCTAGCCCCTTCTTGCCTGCAAGTTTTCTTATGAGAAATCAGCTGACAGTTTTATGGGAACTCCTTTGTAGGTAACTGTCTCCTTTTCTCTTGCTGCTTTTAAGATTATCTCCTCACCTTTAATCTTGGGTAATGTACTTATGATGTGCCTTGGGTGTGTGCTTCCTTGGGTCCAACTTCTTTGGGACTCTGTGAGCTTCCTGGACTTCCCAGAAGTCTATTTCCTTGCCAGATTGGGGAAGTTCTCCTTCATTATTTTTTCAAATAAATTTTCAATTTCTTGTTCTTCCTTTTTTTCTTCTGGCACCTCTATCATTTGGATGTTGGAAAGTTTAAAGTTGTACCACAGGTTCCTAAGCCTCTCTTCATTTTTTGGAATTCTTATTTCTTCATTCTGTTCTGGTTGAATGTTTATTTCTTCCTTCTGCTCCAAACCGTTGATTTGAGTCCCGGTTTCCTTCCCATCACTGTTGGTTCCTTGTACTTTTCCTTTATTTCTCTTTTCATAGCCTTCATTTTTTCCTCTTTTACAACCATGCTCAACCAGTTCCATGAGCATCCTGATTAGTGTTTTGAACTGTGTATCTGATAGGTTGGCTATCTTTTCATCACTTAGTTGTATTTTTGTGGAGCTTTGATCTGTTCTTTCATTTCGGCCTTTTTTTTTTTTTGTCTTGACACACCTGTTACATAGTAAGAGGTGGAGTCTTAGGTGTTCACCAGGGTGGGGCAACCCATGTTGCTACATTGTGATGCTGTATGTGGGTGAGGGGTCTGAGAGGGAACAGTGCCACTTGCTCCACTCTCTGCTGGCTTTTGGTCACTTTTGCTGCTACCCACAAGCAAAGTGAGCCTTTCTGGTGCCGATTCCTGGGTAGATGGGTTTGCGTAGTTCTAGGACCCTCTGGATCTCTCCAATGAACCCTCTTGTGAACCTGTCCTCTTGTCCTGCTACTGCCTCAACCTCCCACAGGTGTTTTCAGTCAGAGGCTTTGAGGCTTTATTTCCCCACACTGGAACCCTGGGTTACGAGGTCAGTCTCGCTCCCCAGTTGTTCCTCCTGGCTTATCTGCATGTGAATGTGGGACCACGTACTCCACCAGCCACCGCCTGGCTTGGTCCACCAACCACTGCCTTGCCTGCCCCGGTCCTCCAGCCACTTTGCTGTGAGTCCTCTCTACTTGGCTGCCCATCTCTGTCCCTCTTACCGGTCTGGATGAATGTTTCTTCTTTAACTCCTTGGTTGTCCAACTTCAATACAGTTTGATTTTATGTCAGTTAGGGTTTTTGTTTTTTTTAACTTTTTGTTGTCCTTCTTTTGGTTGTGAGAGGAAACATAGCATGGCTACCTATGCCTTCACCTTGACCAGAAGTCCTGACTGGGATTTTTTAAAATTCTTAAATATGAGTCCTGTGTAACTCACCATATCAAATAAAAAGCAATGACATAAATAAAGGGCTCAAACTCAAATACATGGGAGAGTCGGGAAGGTCAAGTAAGTAAAGGAACAAAATAATAAAGACTAAGAACCCCCATCTCAGTTGGTACATCCAAATGTGATACTTAACACTTGTAGACCCATTAGCTATTAATGGTAGTTTATAACTTCTGAATCATTCTGCTTCAATTTTGTAAAGTGACCAAAGTGAAATACTCTATAAAATTCCTCACGAAAGAGAAAGAACTCATGGACATGGACAATAGGTGGTAATGTCGGGGGGAGGGTGTGGGTGGAGGTGGGAGATGGTATTGGGGGATAAATGATGATGGGAAAAAAATCTAAAAATGCAAAAAATAAGTAAATTAATAAAATCCTCATGAAACATGGAGAAATCCTAGGCTGAGAAGCTAAACTTCTTTTTCCCTTCTTTTTTCAGGTTATTGGTTGCCTAGCTATAAATTAAAATCCTCTTGGGCAACGGGCCTTCATCTCTCTGTCTTGTTTGGTCATGTGGAATGTCTTCTGGTGCTCCTGGACCACAATGCTACAATCAACTGCAGGCCCAACGGGAAAACGCCTCTTCATGTGGCTTGTGAAATGGCCAACTTGGATTGTGTTAAGATCCTTTGTGACCATGGAGCAAAGCTCAATTGCTACTCCTTGAGTGGACACACAGCTTTACACTTTTGTACAACTCCAAGCTCCATTCTTTGTGCCAAGCAATTGGTTTGGAGAGGTAAGCTTTTTTGGGTGTCTGACATTACCATCTATTTGCACATTCATGGTTTTGAAACTTGGTGATCCTTATTTACCTCAGACAATATAATAGTTATCTCCATGCATTAAGCCTTATTCAGAGGGCCCTAAAAATACATACACAGATAGATAGATAGGTAGATAGAGAATAGGTTGTTATATTATGTTGGCCCAGATCATTCTGTGGTGATCTCATTGGAATTTTACTGTTATTTTTTTAATTGTAGAAGGCTTGTTAATTTACATATATAACAAGTATTTAATTAGCTTCTATGATGTATCAGGTAATGGGCTAAGTAAAAAAGAGGAGATAGTTTCTGCCTTCAAGGAGCTTGTATTCTCGTAGGTGAGATAAGTGTTAAAATGAATTCATAAATATGAAACTATAAATTAAGAATGGAGCAAAACAAGGCACTATGAAAGAGAATTCATGCATGAACTATTACAAAATGTATAAAACTTTCCTAAAGATATGATATGTAAACTGAACCTTTATAATGAGAAGTAGATAGCCATTAAAAAAATCCAACAAGAGGAGTCTAGGTCTAGGGAATAGCATGTGTGCAAAGTTGCTAGGAGAACAAAAAACTTGGGATATGCAACAAAAGGAAGAAAGACGGTGAGGCCAGAACACCATGGCTGTGGTTGGGGTGGGAAAACAGGAGTGTAGAGGGAATGTCACTGAGTGTGTTAGACCATATTGGCCTCTTGGAGGCCAAGGTATGGGGTTTAGAAATGGAACCACTGCAAAATTTTAAATGAGAAAAAGACATGGTTTTCTTTGATATCTTATGGTTTGCACTTTTTGTGTTCTAGATGATAAATCTTTGACTAACCCAAGTAGCAAAGATTTCTCTCTTATGTATGTGTCTCCACATGATTTGATAAAAGACTATTCTTTCATCACTGAGTTGCCTTCTATCTTTGTTAAAAATCAATTGACCAAAAATATGTATGGGTCCACTGATATATTTTTTTCTTTTTTCTTTTTTTGGCTAATGCCTCACTATCTTGATTGCTATCACTTTATTTTAATTCTCAAAATCTGCTAATCTAGGAGTGAATCCTCCCCAATTAGTTTTAAACATGGAAAACTTCAGCTCTTTTGGGGATATCAAAGGGAATATATCAAAGATACACTTGGCATAAAAATATGGATTTCAGAAAAGAGCTCTGGACTAAAACTGTAAGTTTAGGAATTGTTGGCCTATAGATTGTATTTGAAGTCAAGGAAATCAATGAAATCACCTAGATAAATAGTGCAGAGAGTGAAGAGAACCTAGGACCAAACTCTGATACATTCTTACATTTAAACATTAACAGAATGGAGAGGAGTGGAGAAATGAGAGTGAAAAGAATTGATAAATGAAGTTGCAGAAAACCCAGGAATACTTTTGGCATTACAGGGACCAAGAAAGAGGCGATTCCAGAAGAGGACCATGGGCAGCTGTATTGACAGCTACTGAGAGGTTTAATTAGATATTCATTAGATTAAGAGACAGAGCTATTACTGCCAAAACTAGTTTTGGTGAAATGGCAGGTTGTTACAACCAGATTAGAATTGTATAAGGTGTGAATGGGAGGTTAGAAACTAGAGATGGCCTATGGTCATCCTTGTTCAAAGAAGCTTGGCTGCAAAAGTGAGCATAAGAATAACGTGATTGCTGAAGGTAGGGGAAGGCACAGGAGAGTGTACAGTTGGTGATAGAAAGAAATGTTTGGATGCTGAAGGAAAACGATTTACACAAAGAAAACAGTTGAAGATGCATGAGACAAGATAACTAAAAAGTCCAAATAGAGCAGTGGAGACAGGGTGAAATCCAGACACCATAAGACACATTCTCAATGTTCACAGATGAGCTAAAGTAAAAGATGGCTTTAAATACTGGAGCATTTATAGACCTGTTTGTGGTGTGATGAGGAACATCATATCTGATGGCTTTCCCCATCCCTCAATAATGCATGAGGCCAAGTCATCAGCCTAAAAGGAGAGCATAAAGGGTGAGAATTTTGAGGAGAGAGGGGAAGGTGTGGAAGGTCATGGGGAAAGGATGGGAGAACATCTTAAAAATTTCATGTTTTTCTCAACCTATGAGAATTAAGGAGAAAAATGTCAGCCCAGCTTATTCTCCTTCTTACCCACCCTAGAAGGAAGGGCCCAGACGCCTGGAGAAAGGTGGGGTCATCCATTGGGGCTTACCTACTTGACCACATGTGGCCATCACCACCTTTCACATTTACTTAGGGATTTAGTTTTAGATTTAGTTTTTAATTAATGAATTTAAACTTTTAAGCTTTTAAAAGAAAGTTAATAAATTATATATTTGTTTAATTGTTGACTTTTTATATCGATGCTTTCATCAACCACAGGCTGGCAGAGGGCTGCCAACCCTCTCTCTCCTGAGAGGCATTGCCATGTACCTTCCCCAGGGGACACAGTTCTTTCCCATCTCCTTTGTCCCTGTGCACAGAGGGAGATTACCTAGAGACAGAAGGATTAGGCTGACAACAAGCCAGGAGAAAGAGTGGAAGTCCATTAAAGATACACATATTCTTTAGAGCCGTGACAGCAAAGGCCAAAGTCATAAGGAAAAGAAAGATAAATTAGGTGAAGCAAAAATGTTCAATGTCTGTGTGGCAAAGAGATCGTGAAATTAAATGGCCATCGTAAAATGGGAAAAATACTGGAGGCTACATGGCAAAGGACTCATGTTCTTAATATACAAAGAAATCTGAAAACTGAGAGTAAGGAGGTTAACAACTAAGAGGGGGGAAAAAAACAGAACAAAGCACCGAGAATGGGAACAGGTATTTCAGGGGGAAAAAAAGACAAACGAAGATAACAATAATCACCTGCATTTCTGATCAGTAAAACATCAATTAAAATACAATCAGATCTTTTTGTTGTTATTTATTACATTAACAATGATACAAACAATGATAATAGCTATGTTGACTACCACATAGAGAAGTGCTTTCACACACTTAATGAAGTGTAAATGGATAGGATGGGGAGGGCAATATCAAAAGTTTAAAACCTTTTTATGCCCCAGCTGGTGTGGCTCAGTTGGTTGGAGCATTGTCCCATAGAGCAAAACAAAAGTTTGTGGAGTTCGATTCTCAGTCAGGGGACATACCTATGTTGTGGGTTCGATCCCCAGTTGGGGCATGCATGAGAAGGTAACCAACTGGTGTTTCTCTTACCAAAGCTTCTCTCTCTCTCCCTTCCTCCCTCTAAAAGCAATGAAGAAATGTTTCTAGATGAGGATAAAATTTTAAAAAGCTTAAAACATTTTTAATCCAGAAGGTTCACCTCAGGTATTAGAAACTAATTTGAGGCTCTTTGGTTCAGGGCTCTCAATTATGTGGGCTTCAAATTCAAACTTCAGATGTTATAACCAAACAAGATTATACATTGAGTCAAAGACATACCATATTTTTGGACTATAAGACACACGTTTCCCCCCGCAGATTTGGGAGAAAAATGGGGGTGTGTCTTATAGTCCGAATGTAGCTTACCTGGCTCGCTGGGGGGCAGGAGGTGGCCTATGTTATTTATGTTATTAAATATTTTACCACATTTTTTTTTGCCTCAAAATTTTTTTCCTATTTTCCTCATCTAAAACCTAGAGCCCTGGACTTATATGGTCCAGTGTGTCTTACAGTCTGAAAAATTCAGTACCTGATGAGAGAGAAATGAGACATTATCATGTGACAGAATTGTGATGGTCACATGATCTGTAGAAATTGAGACATGGTCCTAAGTCTGTAAAAGTCTTCAAAATAGTGTAGTTCTAGTGTATTTTATTTTATATATTTGTATTAGGAGGTTTGATTGATTGAAGTATATATTTAAAATATACCACAATTTAAAAATGTGTATATTGACATTTATTATTTTTAATATATTTAGAGTCTTGAAAAGTTGCCTGATTTCTTTTTGCCCTCATAAAGTCATTTATAGTACTGAAAAATGTTTGCATATCTAATAGAAAAATTTTGAGCGGCATTATCCACGCCATACAGACATTAAAATAATGCTGTCCAGGGCTGCTCACTGACATGGAAAGATTTTTAAAAAGAAGTTTAGCCCTGGCCATTGTGGATCAGTTGGTGGGACTATTGTCCTATAACTGAAGGTTGCAGGTTTGATTCCTGGTCTGGGGGCGTAGAGGAGGCAACCAATAGATGTTTCTCCGTCACACTGATGTTTCTCTCTCTCCCTTCCTCTCTCTTTAAAAGCAATGAAAAAATGTCCTTGGGTAAAGATTTAAAAAAAAGAGGAAAAAGAAGTTCATTGGGGGGTATAAACTGAATAAACTTAAAAATTATATATGATTATGCATATTAGAAAATAATATGCAAATTACACAGTCAAACTTGATCTCATAGCTAATTATTAGCTGTAGCAAAGCCCTTTGAAAGAGGAAATGTTATTTTAGATCCTTAATCCTAAGATTATAAATTTTTTTTGAGTGGTACCTGGCAAATGTTTAAAAAAATTGTGAGTTAGATAATTGGGGGAAATCTTACTCATTTTATGAATAGATAGATCGAGAAAAGGTGAAGGTAAGTGTCTGGAGTTGAGTCTACTGGTCTGGAAGCTCTAGAAGACTGTGAGCATCTTGCATCCTTTCTTTTGCATTTCTATGTCTTCAGCCTCTTGGACAGAGCTTGGCACATTGGAAACACTCAGTAAATGGTCTCTCACTGATCTGGGGGTGGCCCCAGGAGCCCTGAGTGCATGGATAAGAATTATGGCCATCTAATAAAATGCTGCTGTGGGTCAGTTCTACTCTTTCAGTCTCTAGGGAGATAGCTGAGGGATGAGTTATCCCCCTCTTGGATTATGTGGTGGGAACTTTGTGGAGAAGTCACTTACATCACTCTGTGGCTGGACAGAGAGAGTTGAGGCAGCCTACAGACGAGGAAAAGAAGTTAGGCTAACATTAAACTTGGGGCCAGAGAAGTCCATTAGAG